AATGATTTAACAATGACACCATACGACAATAACGAATCGTATTGTGACATATTGGTGATATGTATATGTATAATTGTATATATTTATACATATATATAATTGGTTAAATGCTCCTATTGGGCGTTCTAATTTGCGAGTGCTTTGCCCACGCGCGCACGCTGCTGTTTTTGCACTGCGCCTGCCACATGTCGCTCACAGCAGCCTTCCGGCTTTTCCGGAAGGAAAAAAAGAGCATCATGCATGTTCGCGCTGTTTCAGCCGCCCCCGTGTGCAGCTCGTCGTTGCCACGAACCCGACCGTGGTGCATGCAGAGCTACATCGTTCACATGCGTCTGCTGTCCATGACCTTGCACTGGTGTGACTGGACTCTCGCTTCGAACCCTTCTGCCTGCGGGGTTGGTTGGCTGTGGTTCTCCAGGAAGATTCCCTAGTGCACGGCGCTCTCTGATGACTTCATCAAGCAGTCGCCTGATCGTTGTTGGCAGCATTGCGCGTTCCCTACGACACTGTTGCTGGAACGTATATGCAAAGAATTACGTGTCTAGGAGTGTGTGCGCGCGCCCGTGTGATGTGCTCTTGCAAATGGCTGCAGCCGAACAAAGAAACTTCACACTCGAGGACCTGACCGCTCCATTTCCGATCTCACTTGTACCAACTTTCTAATACAGAACTTCCCAATATAAAACGCTTCACGCTCGTTTCCTTTAACTATACAGGCATATGTTAGGATATTCAGTATGTATTTCGTGAAATATATAAGGACACAGGAAAATCAACCATAACATACAGGTGCTTTACACTGCCTGTTCAGGCAGGCAGCTACTGGGGCAGCATTCAGCGTCTCCAGTGAGTAACTGACTGTGCAGCTATGCACATCCTGTTCAGGGAGGCAGCTACTGAGCTACTGGGGCAGCAGTCAGCGTCTCCAGTGAGTAACTGATGGTGCAGCTGTGCAGCTATGCACATCCTGTTCAGGGAGGCAGCTACTGAGCTACGTGGGCAGCAGTCAGCGTCTCCAGTGAGTAACTGATGGTGCAGCTGTGCAGCTATGCACATCCTGTTCAGGGAGGTAGCTCGCGGGGCAGCAGCCGGCATCTTCATTGAGTACGGTGCAGTTGTTCACATGTTGCACATTCGCATTGCAGCTGAGGAACTATCTCCAGGCCACAGTACGCTGGCAACCTGCTCAGAGATGCAAAGGTTTTCATGGAAGTGAAGCTTATCCGTGATCAAGTTCCCAAGCGCTATGACAGGCCCGTGACATAGCAGCACTCCACAGCCAAAGCTTGCTTCTTTTTCCCACGGCCACGCTGAGAGGAGACACCTTCAGGCACGCTCAACAGAAAATGGGCCGTCGTTGCCGTCGCTATGCTGTCTTTGTAGACGTCGTCCAAGCTTGAATCTATAAGACTGCAAATTGGAACAGTGTCTAGACTCGCTTAAGTACCTACTATCGTTGGAAAGGGTTTCAAGCTCAGGAGCGCATGCATCTACATGAATGCGAAAGGTGCAGATAGACACGGTGCCGCGTATGGGCACATCTCCTCACTGGCCGCGTCCCAAGGTCAGGGAATATGATCGCAACGTGGCCATAGCCTCTCTCAGCGGCACATACCACGTATTGCCCCAGTCCAAGCTGTGGCCATGCGCCACGATCTTGCGCCAATGAAATTCATTCAGAAGCCTGGTTCACTTCTCTCTGTTTGAGTGAAGCGGAAGGCGTCCGCCCATGCGCTTGCGAACCCAACGCTTCACAAGGCTCCACCTGTTCTCGATGTGGTTGGTGGTGAACCCGTTCGAATTGACGATCTCCCCGGCAGAATGGTTCACCACCTCATGCCAAAGGTCTGCATCACTCCAGCCTTCTTCTTTCTTGAGCTGCTTCACGGCAGCGATGGTCGCCTTCCACCCATCTGTGACCAAGATAGTTTTACGGGGGATTTTCAAAAGCCATAGGCAAGTCAAGATCTCTTCTTTGCCACGAGGACGCCCCTCAGCCGCGTCGTCTGAGTGTCGCAACACTCGAAAGAGGAAGCGCTGCGGCATTCTGGGGACGGTTGCTCCCCAGACCCACACATGATCCGACTGGGTACGGCCCGTGCGCGTAAGGGCGCCCGGCTTTGCCTGATTGAGATGTGATTCGTCCACTTCGATCACATACTTGTAATTCTTGTAGAAGTTCGGCACATCCGGTGTTGCTCGCTGCTTCTTCGCAACGAACTTCGCTGGGCGTTTCAGGATGCCATGCGAAGCTGCCAGGTTTTTTCAAGCCAGGCTTTTTCATGATCCGCACTTTGTTGGCCGACTGGGGCGGTGTTTGTAACTTTGTCACCCTATATATATATATATATGCTGTTAAAAGGGCGTTCTCAACAACACTGTTTTTGAGAACGTGCGAAACTAGCATGAAGCCATATAATTATATATATATATAGATTGCATATTTCTGGTGTTATTGCTGTCATCGCTGGTTGATAACAACAATAATAGTAGCAACAATAATAATGGTAACACAACTGGCCCCAGTCCTGTGACACCACCTTACCATAGTGGTATGGGCATGTATAAATCCCATCCCCAGCCATTGGTGGCTTATTATTGGGGTTTTCACACGGATGGGATCATAAATAGGATAGGATCGTATAAACATGGGAAAGATCACTGGTGGTTTCAATGGAATATTTTAGGGGAACATTTGCGATTGAAACCATGGTATTTTTCCAATTTATTCTAGTTTAAGAGAACATGTCCTGCGAAACATTGCCCTTCAATATCACAGATCTTGACTATAAAAACATTTCTGAACAATTCAAGACTTCAGACGGTAGGTATATTCAAAAAAAATCCTGACGCTACCCCTTGCGCAGTAGAATTGAATGAAGCAACGAAAATCTTGCCGTCACCAATCTTATCATGTCAGCGGTGGCTCTAGCAGCCATGTAGTCCCTGAAAATACTGGTTGAGAACAGATTTCCCAGTTCATGGATTGTGATGCCAATATGTTGCATAGCATAATAATAAATATTGGCAATCATGTACAGGGAAATATTGAACCATATATGCCATACATGCCATATGATCCCAGTTGAAAAATGCCATATCAACCAACAGGGGGTCTGGAACATTGCTCAAGTGGTTTATCATCCCGGCAAATCATCCAACGTGATGCCCCAACTGCCCCAACTCGATCATGGCATCATTTGGGGCATCAGACTTAAAAACCACTGCTTTTGGACGATCAACCACGACCCACACTGGCCATTTTATCCATTTTTGTTGGGATCTCTCCCATTCTGGGATATACCCATGTTCTTGGTGAGAACGTGGGAGGCCTTACATCTCCATGATATCATCATAAACTGCTTGTATTTTTTCTACCATTTTTGTTGCGGAATTTCCCAAGTTCGGACAAATCTACTTCCAATCATACATTATATCCCCACCCTATCCCCACCTATGCCCACCTATACCCACCTATACCCAATATCTCTGTGTGTGTTTTTTCTTAAAGCAACTTCCAAAAAGATGCAGAAAAGTACCATCAATTTCCAAAAATCAAGGTGATTTTAAAACTGCTCTGCATCATTTTTCTGGATGTTACATCCACCATCAAACTAACAGTTCGATGTGGAACACCCACCATTTGACGACTCTTTTCCCACGAAAACCCATAGGTTTCACGCCAGGCTGCAGCTGCCGGTGGCGCGTCACAGGCATTGATGCAGCGACACAAGGTTTGACCTTGAGATTTTGCACCAAAACATGGTATGAAACCAACCATCAATGGGGAAATCTCCAGGGAAATCATTGGAATATCACTATGAATCCCTATGAGAATGGGATTTTAAGAAACTTCATATGATTCTGGGACAAACCAGATAAATCATATCATCCCATATTTGGCAATCATGATAAAATGGGGTTTTCCCATGTTGATAGAATTGGATATAGCGGGGTATAACCGAATTGTTTCTTTAGACAAAGCCATACAAGCATTTTGAAGAATTCGGTATGTTGGGATCAAACCGAAACGGAAAGGGAATGATCATGCGATGATGGGGATCTGAAACGGAATATTTTTCCAACAAACATGGGATCGTGATATCTGACAGGAAAAATGGATAATTACCAGCATCCAATTTAAGTGATATAGATTTCATCACTATCCTATCAACCAAAAGTAGCCAAGTATTTTCCGTGGCTGGTCAATGGCTGGGTTTATATGGGTTTACTATGCATTACTTAGCATTCCTCATTACTCTACAGGAAAACCTTCGTGTTTTTCTCAGGAAAAACTGGAACTCCTTCAGATTTTCCCTTAAAATGCTTGTCAGGGATCTCATCCTGGATGGGGAAAAATTTCCCCGTTTCAACAAGCGGTGGGCCATTGGCAATTTAGTAGAACATAATCATGTCAATATTTAATATGTCTGACATAGATGTTCCTACTTTTCTTTTTGGCAATCTTTCTGCCAATCGGAGTCGGTTTCTGCGTCGGTACTTGATGCCTGTGCGTTTTGGATAAACAATTCTTTGGGCTTATGCAAAGCCTCCATTCAGCCCTTGCTTCGTGCAACTGCTACCAGGTTTACCCCTTCACCATTCGGTTTATCCAAATAGCGCAGGTATACAAAGTGCAACAGCTGGGACCCTATGTACTATGAGATGATGCTAGAACTGCTAGAACGTAGGATCTATAGATACTTTGGGGGTTAAAAGTGGTCACCTGCAGCACCCCATAGGCTGCAGCACGGATTTTTCTTGAGCCATCAGAAGTAGCGGAGCGTTTAGCCATGTACATGTCATCCTTAGTGCAGGGGCCATGCTTGTAAAAACGAAGCTCACCCTTCTACACCTTGGACCTTGGCATACCAGCAACTGTACATCCTAGAGGTTAGAGTGTTCCATGAATCACACTCCCCCTACCTCATTTTGAGGTACAGCTACCTAAAACAAACAACCTTTGGCGCAGCAGCACTAGGAAAAAGCTGCAAAAGCGCTCACCAGGTCTCCCCAGAGACCTCACTCCAGCTGCCGTCATCGCTCAGTTCCTCTTCGGCAGGAGGTAGGTCATCTCGACGCTGAAGGTCAGCCAAAACCGGTTGAGCTCGTCGACCAGCTGAAGTCTGTGCTTTTGGCCTCACCGCAGGTGCTCTTGGTGTTGGGAGCGGACCGTAGGACTTCGCCGTAGCCGCCCGGCTCACATCAACACGGTTCTCTTCCCCACCAAGTAGGTCAGGAAGAAGCCCAAGATGCCCCTCGGCTCCATCAGGCAACCTCAAAACTGCAGGCTGAAGCTCACCACGATCATGCGGTCCTCCAGCTCCGTCACGTTCAGGTAGGTGAAAACGATGCCCTTCTCCACGAGCATCATCACCAGAGCTCCGAGACACAGTGCGATCATGCACGGTCCCAGTTTCATTCTTGAGGCGGAAGAAGGTCCACCCAGTCCACCTTGAAGTAGCGGGGTTCACTGGCTCCACATCCCAGCGGTCCGTCTTGACAAAGCGGCGGTTGGTGTCCTCCTCGAAGCCCACAGTCACACGTAGAGGAAGAAGATCTCCACCTGCAACCGGAGAGGCACGGTGGATTGGCTGGAAAGTGCGTTTCCTTGGATCCCTGTGGACTCTAACAAGCCATCCACGTTGGATCCAGGAACTTTCCCATCTGTCCTTCTTCCCAGTCGGCGGAGGCGCCGAGAACTCAGGTAGTTCCCACGGTGCCGTGGCCGCATCCACAGTGACTCGCATAGCCTTCATGCTGTAGGACCCACCATCAGGCGGAGGACGCTTGGTTCCCGAGCCATCATCCAGGTCCTTTCTCGCATGGATGTCATAGTCCTCATTTTCTTCCTCATCAGGTGGATGGTCTTCAGCTGGAGGCTCGCCTTCCGGTTCTCCAGCTCCATGCAAACCCTGAGAAGTCCAGTTTCCCCAGGAATCATCATCGTCATCCTCAGCGGCGCCCGGAGTCTTCCCCCGGCCTTTTCCTTTTCCCAAAGACTGCCGGCGATCTCCACTAGGAACTGGTCGGTCGGTTGAAGATCCAAGGCCATCGCCACTGGCAGTTGAAGAACCCACGCTGCCTCGACTCGGTGGTAGCAGAGGTTCGGGAACGGGTTTTCCTTTTCCTTTGGGACCAGTTGGGTCGCTGTTCGCTTCTTCATTCTCTTCACCAGAGCTGATGACCTCTGGCCCGTTCTTTCCTTTCCCTTTTCCTTCTGGCTCAGCAAGGGGACGGATCTCGATCAGACCGTCACCTCTGCGAATTTCCAGGTCACCATCCGCATTCACGAAGGATACCACGATCTTTTCGCCTCCCCAAAAGAAGCCTGACTCAATGTCGCGGCGACCATGACCACGGACAGTGTAAGTGGTTCCATCTGGGTTCTCAGGCCCCTGAGAAGAGGCTGGCTGACTGCCCGTCGCAGTCGGAACCTCTTCGCCAGTAGGTTCGTTGTCTTGAGGAGGTAGAGGAGCTGGTAGCGGAGCAGCACTCGTCGCTGTCTTCGGAGTAGCCTGCATCAACGTCACAGGCCCTGGCTCCCCTGCGACTGTTTCCTCGGACTCCTCAAGCTTTCTGTTTTCCCAGCTCGGCCACTCATCTTCCTTCTCTTCTTCATCACAGGCCTCTGCACTTGGGCCCTTCTCTTCACCTTGATCAGCCTTCGCGGCCTTGTTTTTCTTCTTTCTCTTCCTTTTCTTTTTCTCCCCGGTGTAGATGTCATCGTACATGGAGCTCTTCGGCCACGGCTTACGATCATCTCCACCATCACCAGGACCATCTCCACCCTCGCCACCAGCATCAGCAACGCTGGTCGCCATGGCTTCAGCACGGAGCGCCCGGACGCTGGGGCAGCCCGAAGGGCAGGAGTTCCTGAACCCGGCAACAGTCACACCGGAGTTGAAAACCTGTGCACCTTCGCCACTGAAGTCGTTTTCACAAGTGCCGTCAACCACGTTATCCCCAAAAATCGATTTCCCAAAATCAAATTCCCCAAAAGAGGTGGGACTTTGTGGTTTCAGGGTTTTCTTTATGCTGGGTTCATTTTCCCTCAGCAATTGGTGGTTTGGACCGGGTTCATTTTCCCTCGGCCATCTTGTTTCAGTAAGTTGGGTTCCTATGCCGGGTTCATTTTCCCTCGGCGTTCTTGACTTTCTTTTGAGACAACAAAGGTGAGACTTCCATCTTTGTACAACATGGCACACACCAGCTGCTACTGCACAGATCCCTAACCTCCTAATCCGGTGGTGCTCCTCAGTGGTCGGTTTCCACCTTTCAAGCTCTACAGCTACAGTCAGCCCCTTCAGAGCCCATTCTCTACAGATTCCAATCTTCTTCAAGGTCTCCAGGTCCTCCGGCTCAGCCATGTCGTAGAGCCCTGCAAACCTCCGGAATCTTGACCAAGTAGCCCCAACGGTGATTGGCTTCGTCAGGAAATCTGCCGCAAGTTCCACACCCGCCGTGTGTTTCACCTTCCACACCTCCTGTTGTACCGCTTCGTGCAACGCCCTAGAGCGCAGCCTGAGATGTCTCGATCTCCACGGTCCATTTGGGTTAAGTACGACCTGGATTCCCGATTGGGAATCACCGTACAACACTCTGGTTCCCTTTTCTGTTAACCTTCCTTCCTCAAAAAGGTCAACCAAGACCGCCACCGAGTCTCCAAGGCTCATAGCGTCCACGTACGAAGTGACTTCAGACTCAGAGCTGCTCAGCGTAGCAAAGCTCTGTCGCTTACTTTCCCACTGGATCAAACCACCTGCCCAGACAGCAAGGAGACCCTGGTGGGACCTCTCCCCTCCTGGACCGAATGACGCATCCGAGTGGACTTCCAACGTATTGGCATCCCTGCAGAATGCCAAATTCCCATTCGGCCCACGGTCGGCCCACGGTCGGCCTCTTGACACTTTTGGTATAGCAGACCATGACCCACTGTGGCCTTTAAGTAGCCAAGCGTTTGCCTACCAAGTTGGCAAACCCTCTTCGGACATTTGGATGCTCGGGAACCCATCCAACTCACTGCATATGCCACGTCCGGCCGCGTCTTTGTGCTTACCCACAAAAGTTCGCCGACCAGAGTCTGCGCCCTTTTGACATCTGCAGGCTCCGGTGGTGAATCCTCGACATCCTCAGTCCTTGCAATTGGTACCAGCGCTTCTGGTACCTCCGGGTATCGATCCAACAGATCCTTGGTGTAGGATTCTTGGGAAAGGAGGATGCCGCCCCTCGGGTGCAGCTTCAACTCCATCCCACAGAATCTCAACATTCCCTTTTCTGAGAGGTACTCCGCTTCGGAGCAGTTCCACTCCTGGTTTATTCGGTTCAGACATCCCTTGATTACTTCGGTTGGTCCACAGACCAGGACATCATCGACATAGAAGGTACAAAACCTTCTACCCGTTCATCCGAGTCCGCTCTTCCTGGCTCCTCGCTCGACACGAGTTGCCAGACATTTGGTTCGACCGTTTGACGCATCCAGAACGACCTACCGTTTGAGCTCCACTCAAATTTCTTGACCCTTTGGTCGCGGAAGCTGCTGCAGTCGGCCGGACTGGTCTCCAGGCCGTACATCGCCTTTTGGATCACCCACCGCTCATCCGGCGGACAGATCCCAGCCTGCACCAGCAGCTTCGGTGGGATGGTCATCATCAGGCACTCCTGCTCCCTTCGGCGTGGGGCAAGCAAGAACGCGCCCTTGATATCTAGGACTCCCATGTCCCACCCATCCATCATGGCGGTCTTTCTGACCATGCATCGAATGGCGGTGGCATCAGCTCCTCCAGCGTACAAGTCCGCTGCTGTCACTGGAGTCGCCTGAGTCTTGTTGCCATCCTCGTGAGCCTTCGTCACCAGGTTTCCACAGATCACAATCCGTGCCTTGCGTTTCCCATTTGGCGATTTAACTGTGGCAACCAACTTGCTTGGTGCTAGCTCCATGTCTTGATAGCCTTCCATGGCCTCCAACTCAGCTTAACCGGTTTCACCGCCTGGCTTTCATACACAAGCTGGTTGTACTCGGCCTTAATTGGTTCAATCCAGGATTCCATATCCCGCTTTACCATCGTCAAGGGGATTGTGTAGGTTTGCAAGACCGTCGGGGGCCTGCTCACACCTTGGTTCTCATCCCCTTGTTGGCCATCCGTCGACAAAGCTGCGATTCGGGCATGTCTCTCACACTCTTCAGCTTCCAATGCCTCCACCTTGGCACCTTCTTCTTCGATCCGGGAATAATGCTCCAATTCACTTTCCAGCCATCTCACTTGGGTACTCACGTGTTGCACGACTTGTCCTTGCGCCGCACCTTCTTCTTCTGTCCCAGCGACTGCATTCACCTGTTCCTGCAGAAGTTTTCTCAGATTCCAGTGCTGGTAGCGGAGCTCATTCACATACTCCTCTACTTCCGTCTTTTCGATCTCCCCCCAACCTTCAAGTTGAGTTCCATCCACAAGAGACTCCCCCCCAGCTCGTAAGGCCATGAGAGCTGGCAATCCCAATTCTGCCTCAGGTGGAACCAACTCAGAGTCAGACAAGATAGAGGGCTCATACCCATCTTCTTCCTCAGCGTCGGCCACAGCCAACAAGGACTCAAGTTCACGGTCCTCCCGAGGAGGTGGTAAAGGGATCTTGGAAACCTCCACAACCAGTGGCTGCTTCCCGTTGAGACGTCTTTTGGGAGGATCCTTGGGATCATCGACCGTTTCCAGCTCCAAACGAGCTGTTTCTCCAAGAGGATCAGGAATGAACACGGACCGTGCGTGCTGCACAAGGTTGGCTTCTTCATCAGGAGCAACCCAACCGTTAGTCATCTGAGGTGAAGGGCCCATAATTCGAAGCGTCTTGTAAGGGGATGACAACGCCCCTTCTTTTCGACGATGCCACAGTTTGGCCTTAACCTGAGCCAACACAGCAAAGGGTGGCATCTCCTTACACTTGGCCCCCAACTTTCTCATTTGGGCACGCAATCGTTCCTCGACTCCGTGTCGGGCCGCGCATGGCCAGTAGTCATGACTCACTCCCGTTTCTGCCAACAAAAGGCGAAGTCGACGCTTGAATTGGTTGATTTCCCCTTCAATTCGTCCATTGGCTTCAGGCTCATCGCCTGCATTGAAAGTTTGATGGACCTGGCGCATTTCGCACCACTTGGCCACGTGATTGGTTGTGAAAGATCGCTCCCGATCAGAGTGCACACGGTAAATGGGTATGCCAAGGCTCTTCGCCCGGGCATGCACTTTGGACAGTGCCTTTGTAATTTCATTCTGGTGACGAGACGCAAGTGGCTCCATGAAGGTGATGTTCACCACTGGAACATCCTTGGATATCTCCTTGACTTCCTTTTTGACGAACTCTTCCCACGCCTGGTTTCTCTTCCGGGCTTCTTCCTCTGGGATCAGATCCCTGGGCTCTGGATCCAAGAGAAGCTCCCCAGAGGCTTCCACTTCCTCAGCTTCGGGAACAACTTCTTCCTTTTGAGGTTCCACCGCCGCCGTGGAATCCTCCTTCTCCCCCGGACTTGGCCACTGAGGCACAGGGATAGTCGCCAGCAAGGCATACTTTACCTTTCTGCGTTTGGAGACACCAAGGTCGGTGCCCTTTTTGAACGGACCACAGATGTCTACAGACATCACAAAGGCGGATTCTTGACCCCTCTTTCGGCGATGTGGCTCAGCCGAGCCCATGGTTTCCAAGCAGACCTTACAGTCCCGCCGGTATGGCACGTGTTGTGCCTGCAGATGCTTCTTCCATCCCGCTAAGTCCAACTTGCTCAGCATCGGTTGCTGAGCCTGGCTCGCCAGAAATTTGGGTATCACAATCTTGAGAGCAGCCATCAGACCTGGAGCCCATGCAGACCAAGAAGCCGTCTGCTTCAGCCGCTCCCGGAGATCCATGCACACACTCTCTCCAGATTCCTTCGAGGTAATCCCATCAAGTTCCTTCAGCTGGACTATGTTGGTCAGAAGCGTTGTGGGTTTGGGGCGTGGGTGCCCTAGAGCCCCTTGATCCACCCTGACCTTGAACATGTCTGGGTTTCGTTTCAAGAAATCTTCTGTTTCCTCCCATTCCCAGAAGGACGGATACTCTTTCCCATCTTCCATATACTCGCATGGATCTTGGGGACTTTCCACCAGAAGACCACACTGACCCAGAATGCCATTCGCCACCATTCCCTCTCGAGATTTCTCATAGAGACCGAGAGTTTTCAACCACAGGGCGGTATCTCCATCCACCTTTGTTATTTCTCTTTCAGTTAGATCATCCAAAGCGAATCTGTGATTCCTTCTGCCACGTAAAGGGCGAGGACCTGGGATCTTATGCCTAAGACGACTCACTGTCCTGCATGGCGGTCCGGCGGTTATCATCCGGATCCGGACCCTTTCAGCCAATCCCCACAGATACGCCCACACCCCAGCGGCGTGTAGATCTTCTTGAGCGTTCGATGAGATGTCAACGGTCAGCACCTCGGTGTCTGATCCCGTGAGATCCCGCCATCTCCTGGATTCTCCCCCGGACCCAGAGAAAAGATGGATCACCACACCACCTCGAGCTCTTTCCAACCTCCTCCGCTTTGCCCTATTCCAAGGCAAAGGGGAGGTAATTTCTTCCCAGTTCAGCCCTTGGCCCCTCATCAAAGACCAGATTCTCTCAGGGACCTGTGGATACTTCTCCTTCCACCATTCGATCTCCTGAGCCGGTGGCTCACAGTAGTCTCCCACTCCACCATTCTCAAGTGACTCCAAGAGACTCAAGGCTTCACTTCTGTCCATCACTGGACACCCTTGACGTCTGACACACTGCAGGTTCCCATGTTTCGGGTGTGAGATGTCACAGCGATCCTTCTGCCAGTCGATCTTGAATCCGTGATCTACTAGCAGCCGCAATGGAATTATGGGTTCCACGTTATCCAGTGCCAACAGCGTATTGTGCGCTGCGCACCGATAGAGCGTGACACTTCCCATCGCCATTTCAACTTGGACTGGCCAAAGATGCGGAACTTCGGAGCTCTTCGCCTGTCGCAAAGCGTGAGTCGCCCCCCCATCTAGCAAGGCGTACTCTCCTCCGCACTCCTCGTCCATTTTCACCGTCTTGATGAATACCGATTTGATCGACGTCATGGACTTAACCAGACCGTTGAGGTTCTGCACCAAGTCACCTTCCTGCTTGGGCTGGGAACCCTCAGATCTTTTTTCCGGTTGCGGATTTTCCTCCGCTGCCTCCTTCACTACTGTTGACTCTTTTTGGCTCTCCTTCTCAGTGCTCTTCTCCCCTTTCTTATTGAGGACCTTAGCGACCTTCCGGTCACCTTTCTGTGTCCAGCCATTTCCATCTTTAGGCTTGGCTGTGGGACAATCCCTTTTACGGCGGCCTGTTGATGAGCAAAACAAGCACCTTGAGGATTTCTCCAACGTTCCCCAGGCGTGTGCGAAACCGCACTTCTCACCCCTGCGACACCCTTCGTCAGTGCCCCGGAAACGACACGGCGCTTTCTCACCTTCTGGCCTCTCCCATGGCTTCTGCCCTTCCCCCGTGAAGGCCTTGACAGCCGGATTCCCCTGCGTCAGCACCGGAGCCAACGCAGGCGGATTCGACGGCGTCGCCTTCCCAGCAGTCTGCGCATTAGCCAACTCTTCCAGCTCAGCTTGGATGTACTCGGCCCATTCCTTGACCGAACCAAGGCTTGGAGCTCTATCTACGTCCAGCTGTTGGCGCATGGTCGCCAAGCGGAACGCCACCTGACTTCCACCCAATTTTGAAGCTCCATCAGCGAACTTCGACAACACACCTGTCAGAACCAGGGGATCCACTGTTACACTCAGCTCCTCCGACCTTCCCACTGATCGGCGCCATTGCCGAACGGACCCCAGCAGTTCCACCAAACCTGCTGGCACCTTGGCCTCGCTGATGGACTTGATCAATCCTGTCCTTTCACCCGAACCACCAGGTTGAAAGGTGGTAAACAATCGGAACAGAATCCCGACCGTCGAGAGATGCCGCGATGCTATGACGTCCTGTCGCAAACCTTCTGGCAAAGCAGCTAGCAACATAGATACTGACCGCTGTTCCAGTCTTGCGTAGCCTTCACCGATCACTGGTGATCCTGGTTTCATGCGCAGCTTCTCCAGCGGCGTGGCAACCAGCCACTGCTGATAGTGGTGTTCCACAGTTTTCACTGTCAGACTCCACCATTCTCCAGCACTTCCAGAAAGATCACTCATCAGTGGATGCACCACAGTCATCCAATCCCCGAACTGGATGGACGCACCTTCACTTCCCGGTGTGGGAAGCTTTGGTAGCTCCAGGGCCCTCAAAGCCTCAGTCAGAGATGGTCCCGGCTGAGCTAGCCCAGCTTGATTCCTTCCTTGGAATCCCGGATCAATCCCTGGAGGTGGGGACGGCATTCCACCGACTCCTCCCAACGGCTGAGAAGTTCCCAAGGCCTGGCCAACCACGGCCTGTCCCTGTCCAGCTCCACTGGATGCTGACTGGTACGATTGGGTTTCCTCGGTCTGACCTTGAAGCCTTCTCACCTCCTTGGCGAAAGCTTCCTCTGCCTCCCGCATCACCCGCTTTCTGATCTCCTCAACTGCCATCGCAGCTGGGTCCATCATCATCTGAGTCCCTCCCGATGGATCTGTTCCAACAGGAGCTGGGTTCCCCCCTCCAGCCAATGCCTGCATGGGAACCGGGCTCACCATTTGCATGGGAACCGGGCTCACCATGGGTACTGACTGCAGGTCTCGAGGTTCTCGGACTGGAGTCACCATCACTCCTAATCCCTGAGCTGGTTGGCTACCTGAAGGATGAAACACTGGCGGGTGTGGACTCGCGGCTGATCCCATCTGTTGCTGCTGCGGCAGCTGAAAAGCTACCAACGGCGGCAAAGGCTCAGCCAAAGGTCCCAACATAGCACCGCCCACATGCCCTCCACTCGGACAGCCACCACCTTGGTCATTGATCCCCTGACCACTGCGTTGATGTAGTTCAGCATGAAGACCTTGTAGAGGAAGGACACCAGGAGGACCACCTTGAGGTACACAAGAACGGACTTGAGCTCCAGGAAAAAGTGTCCCCAAAGCTTGCAGTTGGTTACCCACCGCACCAGCCACATCTTGCGCCACACCCCGAAGAAGCGGTCCTACCACCATTGTCGATCTCCCACCACCAGGCAATTCCTGCTGAGCTGCCACCGGAGGAGCTTCAGGCCCTAAAGCTTGTGGCAAACCAGCAGGCCTCGCCACCTCACCTTCTCGACCTTGAGCTCGTCCATCTCCCTCTGCTCCAGCCTGAATTTCCAACCTCCGCACACCACCTTCCATCCTCCTAGGAGCAGACAGAGCTCTTCTTCTCTCTCCCTCCTCTTGAGTCTGGGCGATCATGCGGTCCAAGGCTTCATCGGCTGACTCACCACTCATCCCTCCACGTCGACGCTGCAGCAATGACATGGCCACGCAGCAGAGCGCCTCTTTGGGCTCGTAACCTTTGGGGGTTAAAAGTGGTCACCTGCAGCACCCCATAGGCTGCAGCACGGATTTTTCTTGAGCCATCAGAAGTAGCGGAGCGTTTAGCCATGTACATGTCATCCTTAGTGCAGGGGCCATGCTTGTAAAAACGAAGCTCACCCTTCTACACCTTGGACCTTGGCATACCAGCAACTGTACATCCTAGAGGTTAGAGTGTTCCATGAATCACACATTCACACATCCACACATCATGCATCACAAAGCACCACACATCCACACATCAATTTGAACATCCATACGCCCACACATCCACGCATCAGACATTGCACAGCTTGCAGCAAACATCCCACATCCACGCACATCAATGCACATCCGCGCGCATCCACACACACACACACATCACGCTTGACGCATCACACACCAAACATGACACATCACACGTCACACATTCCACATCCCACATCGCACACACTAGACAAGAATGGATCATTATATGATCCGGCAGGAACTGAATCCTGAAACATGCAGATTAGATACGAAACAATAAAATTAACGAAACAGTTCAAACTGATTTCTGCAGGTACACAGTTGGACGTCTCCAACTGCTTCCCATGACATCACTAGCTTCGTTGGCCAGCGTCGTGATGTCATGCGCTGGCCCCCTGCATTGAATTTAGAATTAGAAAGGGAGAGGACAAAGGAAGAAAAAAGAGAGAAGTTTTACATCTATTTAGATGTTACACACACACACACCCGGCCGGAGCCGGGTCAACCCTGAAAGGCAAGAGGAAGAAAAAAGCGGACACACGACGGGCAAACGGCCAAAAACAGCGCAGGGGGGGGAGGGGAACAGACGGACCTCCGGAACCAACCTACACGGCGAAACGGACCTGACCAAAAACAGCGCACACACCTAAACCCCACGACACATTACGGAGAGGCACGCGGGGAGAATTAGGGACCAAATGGGGGACTAGTTAATGACAGGCAAGAAAACCAAAACAATTAATTAAAGGCAGGATCCAGCTCCTAAACCTAAAGGTCGTGCGTTGTGCCAATCCAGGCCCGTGTTCCAGTCAGCCACAAGGGCATAAAACGGCTTTCAAGTTCCAACGAATTAGATGCACAAAATGTTAAACCTCACCAGACAACCATCAAAAGGCAAAAGACCACACCTAAAAGTCATGAGTCTGCCTGGTGCCTGTCTCATAACGTGTTGTACTGTAGCTGCAAAGGTTGCTGCAAAAACGGAGGTTTGTGGTAGTTCGAAGCGGCTTCACTCAATAGAGATGCATTCCACTGGGTTCATAAAGGACAGCCGGAAACGCGGGACGTCACAAAAAGGTGCAAAACGGAAAGGCCAACTGTTGCGATTTACTTAGATGAATTACTAAATTAAAATGTGTTAATTCGGCAGTCAGGACAGTCATCACTCACCCTAAAGAGGGTTGCCTCAAATGGCTCCATGGCACCATGTCCGAGCCACCATGGAAATCACACTAGACAAGAATGGATCATTATATGATCCGGCAGGAACTGAATCCTGAAACATGCAGATTAGATACGAAACAATAAAATTAACAAAACAGTTCAAACTGATTTCTGCAGGTACACAGTTGGACGTCTCCAACTGCTTCCCATGACATCACTAGCTTCGTTGGCCAGCGTCGTGATGTCATGCGCTGGCCCCCTGCATTGAATTTAGAATTAGAAAGGGAGAGGACAAAGGAAGAAAAAAGAGAGAAGTTTTACATCTATTTAGATGTTACACACACACAACAACACACACACACCAACACACACACACACACACCACAAACACACACACACACCAACACACACACACACACACCATCACATACACACACACACACACACACCACAAACCAACACACACACACACAACACCACAAACCAACACACACACAGAACAACACACACACAGAACAACACACACACACCACAAACCAACACACACACACACACACACCAACACACACACACACACACACCACACACCAACACACACACACACACACACACACACACACACCACATACCAACACACACACACACACAAATACACACACACACAATACACACACAAAGAACCACTCAAAGCCACACACAATACACACACACAAGACACACACAACCACAATACACACACAACACAAAGACACACAAACCCACACAAAAGATACAACACCCACACCCAAATACACCCACACAAAGACACACATACACACAGACCACCACAAGACCACAACACAAATCCAACACACAAAGACACACACAAAGACACACACACAAAGACACACACACAAAGACAGACACACAAAGACAGACACACAAAGACAGACACACAAAGACAGACACACAAAGACAGACACACAAAGACAGACACACAAAGACAGACACACAAAGACAGACACACAAAGACAGACACACAAAGACAGACACACAAAGACACACAAAGACACACAAAGACACACAAAGACACACAAAGACACACAAAGACACACAAAGACACACAAAGACACACAAAAAGACACACAAAAAGACACACAAAAAGACACACAAAAAGACACAAAAAGACACACAAAAAGACACACAAAAAGACACACAAAAAGACACACAAAAAGACACACAAAAAGACACACACAAAGACACACACAAAGACACACACAAAGACACACACAAAGACACACACAAAGACACACACAAAGACACACACAAAGACACACACAAACACACACAAACACACACAAACACACACACACAAACACACACACAAACACACACACAAACACACACACAAACACACACACAAACACACACACAAACACACACACAAACACACACACACAAACACACACACAAACACACACACACACAAACACACACACAAACACACACACAAACACACACACAAAGACACACACAAACACACACAAACACACACAAACACACACACACAAACACACACACAAACACACACACAAACACACACACAAACACACACACAAACACACACACAAACACACACACAAACACACACACAAACACACACACACAAACACACACACAAACACACACACAAACACACACACAAACACACACACACAAACACACACAAACACAAGCCCTTTGCACCCAAGGAGGTGCCCCAAGGAACGAGGAGTTCCAGGTATTCGGCAGCCATTTAGCCCCTCGCCTGTGACATCCTTCGGTGACTCTTGCCATTTTCCTGCCTGCTGCTCTGTACTGCTGGACAAGTGTGCCCTTTACAACAGCTTTGACGATTCTGGATACAAGATTATGATCTTTGTCTTCTTGGGGCTCTTGTTCATTTACCAATACAGTGGGTGTAACCCGGTCCCAAATCCGGGCACAGCTGATCCTTGCTTGCTGGCCTATTTGATGCGACAAACAGATTTGCGGCAATTTTTGGGATCCCATCCATACAGCTGTGAGGGTGAGGGTTGTCGTGGGACCACTACCACGACTGAAGCAGACACATGGCAGTCCATTTTTCATAATGCAACTGCGAATAGTGGAAACCCGCCACCAGTGAGTGGTCACACTCAGTGCTTCCCATCGCCAGCTACCAATGTGCATAAGCGCAGTTTCAAAAGAGCATGCCGTAGGGCCATTCGTTTTGGGACAGCTGACTATCATGGACAGCGACTGCATTTGAGAGACTTTCCGGAAACCCTGATTTGTAAGTTAAGATCCAATGAGCCGAGCGTCCAGCCACACAGATCCATATCAGTACGTTCCAGTTCCAAGAGACTGACCTGTCTCTCATGGAACTCTGGTGGTATGTCTCAAGCTTCATTCCACGAGCTGAAGCACTGGCTCCGACTTCATCCAGTGGACATAGTGATGGTTGCGGAGACGCGTTGGGGCTTCGAATCTTTCTGGACAGATCAGGACTGGACCTATCTGCACTCTGCCACAGAAGTGAAACGCAGTGGCGGCCTGTTGGTGATGCTCTCTCGACGCTTTGCCCATTCTTCTCAGATTGGTTATGATTGTGTGGTACCTGGCA